ATCAGTTTTACAGATTCGATAAGCTTGGAGACGCCATTCTGCTATTTGTCCATGTTTTGAGCAACATTTATGACAATGTAAGTGTGTCATTTTCTTACTTTTTTTTGGGAATGCTCTTTTTTAGGAGCCTGTGTTTCGCTCTTTCACCCGCAGAGTTATGCTCGAGCATTTTGAAAGAAATGTTGATCCTGCCCTTTGGAATGTAGATTTTGCTTTGCAATTTTCAAACTTTATCCATGTTTTAACTCACTCGTTTTTTGAATTTGTGATTTGCAGATTTTCTTTTCTAACTACTGGAAAGGATTCCTCGAGAGCAAAGGCGCTGCCCTAAGCGCTGATCAGAAGACAGCTTGGGATAATTTGGGCTCTATGTTCAGCCAGGAAAGCCAAGCATATCTGGCGAAGATGGGACGCCCTCACGCTTAAAGTGGCTTGCTACAAAAATGACACACCATCTCATCCTTTTTCAAATAAAGATAAGCATGCAATCGAACTTTGAAAACAAGCAAGAGGGAACGTACACATACAAAATAAGTCTAACGTTTGCATATTACAATCAAATATTTGAAATGAGTAACTGAGTAAGATTACTAGTGCAAACAGATTGAAAATACTATACTTCTAATATATCCTATTTGGAAGCATTTTATGCTTCATGTTCCAAACTCTGACAGAAGAAACGAGTGTAAAGTGACAAGAATCAATCATTGGCTACAGCGCAAATCAACTGATAAGCATAAGGTCATACATGGACACATTTCCTTCTAAAAATGTTCTTTTACGCTGGGAATTCCTCAAACATTCCTTTATTTCAGAGCAAGAGCAAATTTACAGCAGAATTAGATTTTTAAATTTTTGTTTTGATGAATTTTTTCTAAAATGAATTTCTAGATAATAACCAGAAGTCGCAAATTCTAGAAGAAGCAATGTCTACTGAAGATGTGATACATGAAGGTTCATGCCATTGTGGAACTGTCAAGTGGACAGTGCGAGCTCCTGAAGTGTTGGACTGCATAAAATGCAAGTATGTGACGTCTCCTCGCCGTTAGGAGTTTAGTCTTTTGTCTTTACACTTAGGTAATTTCAAACAAACAGTCTATCCCATTTCAGTTGTTCAATATGCAGAAAGAAATCGAATGATCACTTTATCGTTACGAAAGATAGATTTACACTGCAAGAGGTATAACTTGGACTTTTTCTGGGCTTCTTTGGACAAAGCTCTAAATTTAAGAGTTAACTTTTCTTTGAAAAATAATGGTAAAACCTACTTAAGGGCAAAGAAAACCTTACGACATACACGTTCAACACACATCAGGCAAAGCATCTTTTCTGTC